CTGCAAGAAGGATTTATGAGTTCTGGTTAGCAGTAATCTAAAACCAAGACAACAGTGCATTAGTGTTCGCATTAAAGCTAACAGAATTCTTGGCTTCATATCTAGAAGTATAAATAATAGAAGTCCTCAGGTTGTTTTTCAACTCTATACATCCTTGGTTAGGTCTCATTTAGATTATGCTGCACAGTTCTGGTCACTGTATTACAGAATGGATATAAATGCACTGGAAAACATACAGAGGAGGATGACAAAGTTGATCCCATGTATCAGAAACCTTCCCTATGAGGACAGACTGAGGGCCCTGAATCTGCACTCTCTCGAAAGGCATAGAATCAGAGGGGATATGATCGAGGTGTATAAACAGGAATAAATAAAGGGGATGTAAATAGCGTGCTGAAAATTTTCAGCCAAGGCAGGACTCGCAGCAATGGTTTCAAGTTGGAAAAATTTAGATTCAGGAATGATATAGGAAAGCACTGGTTTGGTAAGAGAGTTGTGGATGAGTGGAACAAACTCCCAAGTACAGTTATAGAGGCTAAAACGTTGTGTAGTTTTAAAAATAGGTTAGATAAATACACGAGTGGGTGTGGGTGGGTGTGAGTTGAACCTGACTAGCTTGTACTACTAGGTCTGATGCCGTGCTCCTTCCTTAACCCTTAAACTGTCCAAGCAGATCTATGTTCACATGCGTAGTGCTCCAAAAGTAGATCTACATTTTTTTTACATATTTTCAAACAAAAAAAAAAAAAAAAAAGTAGATCAAAGTTTTTTTTACACGTTTTCAAATGTAAAAAAAGGAAAAGAAGATCTACTTTTTTTACATACTTTCAAATGTTGAAAAAACGTAGATCTACATTTGGACAGTTTCAGGGTTAAGTGAAAGTGACCTGACTAGGTGCATCATTGGGCTACTCCAGGAGGAGGGGGGGCATGGACCTGCTTCGCATGGGTCAGTAAGCCTGCAGCAGTGGTCCTTCTTTCTTATGTTCTTAAGTTATCCAAATATGATACTGTGCCCTTACAGCAGCCAATGTGTTAATAAAAAAAAACCTTCTCAACAGATTCTATTTTTTATACAAACTGTGTACAGGTGTTGGTGCATCAAAGTATACTTTACACTTATAACCAACATGGAAACAAAAAAAAAAAAGAGATTTTATATGTATCAATCTCCACCTGAGATATCAAGTGGAGTATTGGAAGTCAAAATATACAAACTTGCCTTGCTGCTTTTTTGTTTCTATATGGGTTATTATTTTCGAAAGAATTAAGAGTAAGATGGAGAATAGGATAGCAGATGAACAAGGAGGCTTTAGGAAAGGTAGGGGGTGTGTGGACCAGGTGTTTACAGTGAAACATATAAGTGAACAGTATTTAGATAAGGCTAAAGAGGTTTTTGTGGCATTTATGGATTTGGAAAAGGTGTATGACAGGGTGGATAGGGGGGCAATGTGGCAGATGTTGCAGGTGTATGGTGTAGGAGGTAGGTTACTGAAAGCAGTGAAGAGTTTTTACGAGGATAGTGAGGCTCAAGTTAGAGTATGTAGGAAAGAGGGAAATTATTTCCCAGTAAAAGTAGGCCTTAGACAGGGATGTGTGATGTCACCGTGGTTGTTTAATATATTTATAGATGGGGTTGTAAGAGAAGTAAATGCAAGGGTCTTGGCAAGAGGCATGGAGTTAAAAGATAAAGAATCACACAAAGTGGGAGTTGTCACAGTTGCTCTTTGCTGATGACACTGTGCTCTTGGGAGATTCTGAAGAGAAGTTGCAGAGGTTGGTGGATGAATTTGGTAGGGTGTGCAAAAGAAGAAAATTAAAAGTGAATACAGGAAAGAGCAAGGTTATGAGGATAACAAAAAGATTAGGTGATAAAAGATTCGATATCGGATTGGAGGGAGAGAGTATGGAGGAGGTGAATGTATTCAGATATTTGGGAGTGGACATGTCAGCGGATGGGTCTATGAAAGATGAGGTGAATCATAGAATTGATGAGGGAAAAAGGATGAGCGGTGCACTTAGGAGTCTGTGGAGACAAAGAACTTTGTCCTTGGAGGCAAAGAGGGGAATGTATGAGAGTATAGTTTTACCAATGCTCTTATATGGGTGTGAAGCATGGGTGATGAATGTTGCAGCGAGAAGGCTGGAGGCAGTGGAGATGTCATGTCTGAGGGCAATGTGTGGTGTGAATATAATGCAGAGAATTCGTAGTTTGGAAGTTAGGAGGAGGTGCGGGATTACTAAAACTGTTGTCCAGAGGGCTGAGGAAGGGTTGTTGAGGTGGTTCGGACATGTAGAGAGAATGGAGCAAAACAGAGTGACTTCAAGAGTGCATCAGTCTGTAGTGGAAGGAAGGCGGGGTAGGGGTCGGCCTAGGAAAGGTTGGAGGGAGGGGGTAAAGGAGGTTTTGTGTGCGAGGGGCTTGGACTTCCAGCGGGCATGCGTGAGCGTGTTTGATAGGAGTGAATGGAGACAAATGGTTTTTAATACTTGATGTGCTGTTGGAGTGTGAGCAAAGTAACATTTATGAAGGGGTTCAGGGAAACCGGCAGGCCGGACTTCAGTCCTGGAGATGGGAAGTACAGTGCCTGCACTCTGAAGGAGGGGTGTTAATGTTGCAGTTTTATAACTGTAGTGTAAAGCACCCTTCTGGCAAGACAGTGATGGAGTGAATGATGGTGAGTTTTTCTTTTTCGGGCCACCCTGCCTTGGTGGGAATCGGCCAGTGTGATGATAAAAAAAAAAAATATGGGTTTTATCCTCCCATGTATATATTTTTTAACAGACTGACCGTCTCCCACTCACATAGGCAGGGTGACCGGAAAAAGAAACACTTTCACATTATCACTGCCTTGCCAAAAGTGCGTAGATAAACACTCAGGTGTTCCCTCCAAACAGCAAATATCCCCACCCCTTCCTTTGGAGTGCAGACACTGTACTTTCCACCCTCAGGACTCAAGTCCAGCTATATATAGAGCTTTTTTTCTCCATACTGTATCCATCCCCATTTCCCTCTTCCTCCAGCTACACAGCATTAAAGCCCATGTGCTTTGATTTTTTTGCATTTTCTGGACCAACTCACATTGGTGTGTTCCATTTTCTCCAGCTCTAAATCCTTTTCTTAATTATTTTTCTCTGCTGGGAAGTTTAATTCATTCCACATTCTCTTTTCACAGATCAAGTGGCTATCACTGTAGTTTTAAAACAGACAAAACCCAATTGCTGAATTCTTTTACATTTGCTGGAAGTTTACCTTCACATAACTAACACCAAAGGTACTTTAATTACCTAAGAAAGATGATGCATGAGGTTTCCCTCGCCTCTAACCCCAGCTCAAGCAAGAGAAAAAAGGAAGCTTTGAAAGAGCGAGTTCTCATAAATATTGGCAGATTTAAGAACAATACTTACTTGTACATATTTTAATGACCCAACTCCCCAATATCAGTGAAGGCCCTGGAATAGTACTCGAGTCAATCCATTTATGATTCAGGAGTAACTACTGCAGACTTACAAGTTAACCCTTTGACTGTTTTGGTCATACATATACGTCTCACGAGCCACTGTTTTTGACATATATATACTCATAAATTCTAGCTGCTTCAAATCAAGCAGGAGAAAGCTGGTAAGCCCACACGTGAGAGAATGGGTCTGTGTGGTCAGTGTGCACCATATAAAAAAAATCCTGCAGCACGCACTGCATAATGAGAAAAAAAAAATCCAACCGTTTTTTTTTAATTAAAATTGCCGATGTTCAAAAGTAAACAAATGATGTCATTTTCCAATAAATGTCCAAGTAGCCATTCTAATATGCACTCATGAATGGGGTGACATTTTTTATACAATTATTACAATATTGCAGTAGTCTGCATAACAATAAATCTTCTATTTTTTGTTTGAATAAAAATTCAAAATAGAAAGCAAGAGTAATATCAGAGGGGCCTGACTGATGAACAAAGAAAATGTTATTTTACAGCCAGCGATGTCTGCGTTGTTCATTCTGGACCCTATTTTGAAATTGTCATATTTTTTAATTTTCGTGAAATTGGCCAAATTGCAAATTTCTGACCACGTTCTTGGGTAGTTGAAATCGGTAAATGAAAAGTTTCTTGTACTCAATCGATAGAAAAAATAAAGTTCTAAAGAAATAGCTATGAGTTTGGTCGACTGGAACAATGGAATTTGCCGAAAGTAGGGCTCAAAGTGGGCAAAATCGCGGATTCATAAATATCACCATGGTCTCTAACTTCACGAGAGTGTAATTTCGTTCTTTTGGTGTCATTACAATCGGGAAAAGATTCTTTATCATTTCATAAGAAAACATTATTTTTTTTTTCTTTTTGAAATTTTGCGACACCAGGAGACACCTCAGAATTTAGGGTTGCGACAGTCAAGGGGTTAAATAAATGGGATGTCTTCCTGATTTTTAGAAACAGTTAACAGCATGGTTACAACACAAACTGGAGGTATAACTTGATATTTCATTTCAAACTTGTAGATTAGTTGCGAATTCTTCAGTTTGGCTGAATATTTCTAGACTAATTACTTTTTTATCACAAGTTTGTGAGAATATAATTATACAGTACTTGATAAAACAGTTCTTGTCAAAGCACATCCTCCTAAAAAAGTTTTTTTTTTTTTTTTTAATTTGGCCTCCTACTGGAACTTGACAAGTTTCTTTACACAGCTCCCTCTCAGTTGGCACAGTGTGCCTGCAGTGAGCAACAGCCAAATTGATCAGGCCATCAATGAGGTTTGGTTTGAGACTAGGCCAAAGGGGTGATCTTTCTTGGAAATATCAGCAGGTTGCTTGGCCAGCACAATATCCACTCAAATAATTGTACTCTGGTATGGAGAGATGAGAATATAAAAAAGCACGAACACTACAGCAGGTCTACTGGTCCATATTACACAGGTGAATAGCCAATAAATCTTAATACGTTCTCTATATAAAAATCATATTTTTTTTTTTAAATAATCTTATTAGGTATATAATTTCTTACCTGTAACAGCATTTGCAGCTGAGGAGGAATTTGTGAAGTAAACTGCTGTTGTGAAATTTGTACCATTGACTGGTGATGAACTTCTGTTGGGGGAATGGTTGGGTAGACATGTCCTGCAGCAGAAGGTGATGAGATGCGACTTCTAGCTTCATGCTCTGCAGTACCAGGAGCTCCTGGAGTGCCAGCACGCCCAGGATAGTAATAGCGGTGGTCATACAATCGTGTGTACACCATGGCCACCTGAAAAACATTGCTTATTTTCATCAAAACAGTTCTAATGCATTTTCAAATTTTATCATTAAAATATATTTTTTGTAAAACTTTCAATGAGGAAATTCTGTAACTCAACTATGGGAAAATGCAACCGAACAATGCAAGAAAGAATAATACAAATGTAATGGACCCAGGGATAACAATTTTTGAAACATCCTGCAAACAATGAATAAAGTTACTGTGAATGCAAAAGAACCTCACATATAAAGCACCTTCCTTTCTGTGTTCCACATTTTCGTTGGCTTCAAATGGAGCCATTGTTCATTATGTTCCACCCACCAGCAGATGGAACAATAGCTAAATTGAAAAATGTGGAACACCGTAAACAGGTGCTGTATATGCAGGGCCCTCCTGCACTGCAAAGAAAATAAACTGGATAACAAGAACCTTTAATTTTTAAAGTATAACTGCAGAGTGCTACTTCTACATTAAACCTTGTCAAGCTTAGATTTCCAGATTGTAAGACAGTACAGCAAAACATATTAGAAATTCAACACCTAAATTTCCTTAAAATCCAGCTGAATGTAATAAATTTTTTTAAAATAAATGTACCACACAGTGGATTTGCTAAGTGTCAAAGCAGTGTGATACCTGTGGAGAGTCTGTTGAGCGATCATGGTGTGGAGATGCCAGCACATGAGGTGAAGACTGTCCACGGGGAGCAAGGGTCGCAGAAGCACCGCTCGATCTTGGAGGGAAGTCAGCTGGACCTGGAGTACCGGTACCAGACCTAGGCTCCAGCTTCTCTGCTTCCCCTTTCTCTAGCTTCATGTCCAGTGGTAATGGTGTTATTATCTTGTCGCCTCCTAGAGAAAGTGGCATCCATCAGTAAATATTCCCAGTGCATAAGTCACATGCAGGTTTCAACTAATTTTTTTTAACACATTGGCTGTCTCCCACCAAGGCAGGGTGACCCAAAAAAGAAAAACTTCCACTATCATTCATATTATCATTGTCTTGCCAAAGGCATGCAGATATGACATTCAACAATATAAACTGGAAAATACCAAATACGGTATGTACCAAAATTATAAGTTCAATATTTAGCACAAACAGCACATTTTGCATTACAGGAACCTAACTCACTACATGCTGTTGTTTCTACTTCTACAAAACTTGGAGGTTATGCATATACATTATATGAGTCAACAGAGCTAAGCACACATTTTTTTTATATCTCTTACACTGTTTCCTATAGTTCATCTCTATACAGTGGACCCCCGACTTACGATCAACTCCCAATTCAAACAATTATGTAAGTGTATTTTTGTTAGTGCTTCTGTAAGTGTATTTTTGGGGGTCTGAAATAGACCAATCTAATTTACAATATTCCTTATGTGAGCAAATTCATTCGGTAACGGCACCCAAACAGCCTTCTGGAACGAATTAATATCGTGAGTCGGGGGTCCACTGTATTTTGTTCCCACTTACCTTACACTATACAGTATAAATACATAAAGGACACAAGTGCAACTAATGTGACATTTTATTGTGGCAACGTTTCGCTCTCCAGGAGCTTTGTCAAGCCATTGACAAAGCTCCTGGAGAGCAAAACGCTTCCACAATAAAATGTCACATTAGTTGCACTTGTGTCCTCTTACTTAATATATTGTCGGTAATTCTACCAACATTCATACAGTATTAATACATTTTCCTTAGTGAATTTCCCTCTACAACAAATGAGACTTTTCAGTGCTCAACATTTCAACAATGCAATTCACATACCAATAATTCAGTAGAGTTTTCAAGGCTACACTCAACTTACCATAAATACCATAATACTGCGAGGGATACATGTGTGGCAGGTATGCAGGTGGTACTCCTCTCATCATTTCACCCTAAAAGAAAACATTACATTAATGGTTTTAATCATGGGTAAAAAAATATTAAATGTAAATACTATATGTATGAGAGATGATTGGGAATAAAGTAGTTGAAGAATGTAGTAAGACCCTACAACAACATTACAATATCTGAATATACAGTTTAGAAAACCAATAAGTCTATAAATGAGACACTTGTGTAACAATCTTGATTAATGGATTTAATACAGACTCCAGGTTGAGGGACCAATTACCTCAACTCCTCCTTGTCTTCCACCTTTTTCTGCACTGGACTGAAAAAGCCACTAGCTGGTGAATTGTTTCCAGAAAAGATACTCAAATGTTGTGTCTTAATTATCAATATTAGTATCACTATTAAGTACAATGGAGCTGTATATACCTCATACTTTTAACGTACCATCATATTTGTATCTTTAGTGCCATTTTATTTGTAATTCTTAAAGTACCATCTTTTTTTCAATAGATCTTGCCATATGATTATGTTTATCAGTCCTATATTATCACACATCCTTGGTCTCTCCAATAATTTTTTCCTTCCTGGATGTGATTTTCAAAGGAATATTCATTTTTGTTCCACATTTGCCTACTTCTGAACTCGCTAAATGCCTCATCATGCTGGAAACGTGTATTTTATGATTATACTGAGTTTTCTTGTTTATCGACATACCTGGAAGGGGTCAATGCCCCTGTGGCCTAATCCTTTACTTCTTGGTTTTTCTATATAATTTCTCTTCTGTACAGCCAACAACTAACCACTTTGTCTGTAGCTACTTTTCTATTTTACTGTTTATTTTACAATCTATCGTTTCACTGCATTATTAGCTTTATTTTTAGTTAGCCCATAGCTAATATATTTCATTCTAACCAGGTTTAGTTCCAGCTTTGTTTCTATTTTCTTTTTAATGTACCAGTTGTCTCCCACTGAAGCTAGGCGACCTAAACAGTAAAACAGATGTTTTTCTTTTTTCTTTTTTTTCAACAAGTCGGCCGTCTCCCACCAAGGCAGGGTCACCCAAAAAAGAAAGAAAATCCCCAAAAAGAAAATACTTTCACCACACTCACACATTATCACTGTTTTTGCAGAGGTGCTCAGAATACAACAGTTTAGAAGCATATACGTATAAAGATACACAACATATCCCTCCAAACTGCCAATATAGTAATATATACAGGAGAAGGGGTTATAGCCCCTTGCTGCCGGTATTTTAGTCACCTCTTCTACGATTTGCTGATGTTAAATCCGTTAGTTATCGTTCCAGTGCATAATGAACATTCCCCTCTTCCCTAACAATGAACATGAACAAGATTTTAGTCAATGTAAAGGGGAGAATTCAAAACTCTCCTGAAATGAAGCATAACAAAATAAACAGAGGAAAGCAAAAAAGTATCCAGGAATATCAAAATAATATGTGGGGTGTGATGTAAGTCGCTCTGATGACAAGAATTTGTATTTGCTTGCCCTTGTTTGGCAACAATTACTGTTAATACAGAGTGCAGTAGCGAGTTGATTATATTACGGTAAAGTAGAAATTCATTGGTGTACAGCAGGGGTCTCCAAACTTTTCACTATGGTTGCCATTTTATATAGTTTACACATTTTTGCAGGCCAAAGAAAAAAATTAGTCATATAAATAAATGAATGAGGGTTTATTAGTGGTATTATTTCTAAATATTTGAAGTTGCTGCTACCAGCAAGCTGCAGTTTAGAGAACTCTGCTGGTACAGTGTTAACCTTTTTTCTAATTTACAGGATTGTAGAATCAATAGAAAATTAGCGACTTATACCACACTTTATATATACTACAAGTGAAATCCAAAATTGTGCATAATGGATACAGTGTTTCTAATTTGCAAATTACCAAATAATGACATCTAAACAAACACAACTATTTTTAACACACCAGCCATCTACCAATGAGGTAGGATAATCCAACAAAGAAGAAACATGCCTATTTTCACAGTCATTCAAGACGGTAAGTTTTACCATATTTCTTTTGGGCCGTCCTATCTTGGGGGAAGACGGCTGGCATGCTAAAAAACTACTTGTATATATCTAGCAAAATATCTATAAAATCTGTGTTCAGTAAACAGCCAATGTTATATCTATGAATAAAAAATTTATAGTTTATTAAAAAATACAATGTCAGTGTTGAACTGTTATCCATAAGTATGTCAATGCCAAGCTATCATAAAATGCTTAAAATCGTAAGCAATCTTTGAATCTCAGGGACGAAATCACATTCTCTTAAGCATTAGATCATCTCAAGTATGTTACTGTAATAACAAGGAGAAGTGCATGAAGCATGCGAGGGCACTGACCTGTGTGTGTTGGTGGGCAGGAGGGGGAGTGTGAACAGAGGGAGGGGTGGACAATGGTGGGGACGTAAGGTAGCGTTCCCCACCACCAACACCAGTACCACCACCACCACTACCACCACTGCTGCCACCACCACCACCACCATTACCCCCACTCCCACTTCCACCACCCCCACCGCCACCACTAGCATTGACCTGTGATGGATGGTGGGGATGGTGGCGAGCCACAGGCTGCTGCTGGTACTCTGTTACATCTCCTGCATGGTAGTAGTGAGCCAGCCCACCCTTGGGGGCACCTGACACAGAGGAAGCAGGCATGGGAGCAGCCGCACTGTGAGTGTGGACAGCAGCAGCAGCAGCAGCATGCTGAAAACACCACAACCACAAGTTAGTCAACAAAGAAAGCACCACACCAACACATGCACACCCTCAGCAGTCAGTATCTTAGATCAACAGTAATTTCATGCAATCATGTTAGACAAATATGATCATACAGTAAAGCAGAAAAGAAAAATGAAAGGAAACATGCTTATATAAATTGTTATACTGATTTATATTTTTTCCAAATCATGTTTGCTGAAAAACTAGCATTATTACATAATTAGCTTTAATTAGATTTTACACTATACTGTACTCTAATGAAACAGTATAAATTTGTAAGAAATTATCTGTAAACCACAAAGCTAGGAAAAATTTCTAGATATTTTTCCAGTTTCCCCTTTTCTCTCATCTATTAAATGTATAAAAAAAATTGCTTTTACTGAAATCATATCTTGAACTTTCACCTTCTTAACCTTTAATAGCTACATAATTAATTTTTTAATAGTCAGTAATGCTATATAATTTTTCCTATTTTTTTTTTTAACACATCGGCTGTCTCCCACCGAGGCAGGGTGACCCAAAAGAAAGAAAAAACTTTCACTATCACTCATACATAATCACTGTCTTTGCAGAGGCACGCAGATACAACAGTTTAGATAGTCACTCCAAACTGCCAATATCCCAAACCCCTCCTTTAAAGTATAGGCATTGTACTTCTCAAGTCCAGCTAACTGGATTCCCTGAATCCCTTCACAAAATATTACCCTGCTCACACTCCAACAGCTCGTCAGGTCCCAAAAACCATTTGTCTCCATTCACTCCTATCTAACATGCTCTCACACACAATTAAGAATTGATAAATAAGATAGAGCTCAATCACATAAAAGGAGAGAAGTCATCCCGTGTCCTGACATAGGTCGATAAGATAGTAATCATCCAGGCAGGTACTACCCTCCTGTTATGAGCATTAACTTGAAGCCTATTAAATGTTTTGCACTGGCAGGAATGCTCGTTTTTCCTTTGCCTCATGAACATACAAATGACAGGTAATCTAATAAACTTCTAGGCGAGTACAAATAAGAAGCATGTCTGTCTGGTGCTCAGCAGACGGAGGTATCAAGCTTCCACCACGTCTTACTCTGAATGACCTATGTAGGTTGAACACTTAACATGAATTAAATTCTAGTGACTTTTTATATTCTTATCTTAATTTTCCCCTGTTTCTTAATACTCTCACCAGTTATGTATATCCACAGTGGCTGTTGGAAAATCTTTTTCCTGCCTTCAAGAGTTCCATGTGATAAAACCGAAAATTCATCTTCTGATTGACTTTGAACTTTCAGAGTTAGTTTATCTTAGAGGAAGATTCAGATTGTAGCCAAGCTGTGACAGTGCCGATTTGTGAAATTTATTTCGAAAATAAGGGGTATTTTTTTTGTGCATAAGCTCAAATGGCTTGGAGGGTGATGTGAACTGTGATGTCAGTGCCCCTCTGGCAAGACAGCGACTGAATGAGTGATGGTGGAGGCGTTTTCTTTGTCGGGATCACCCTGCCACAGTGAGAGACGACTAGAGTGTTTAAAAATATGAAGTATCTAACCAAAAGAAAGGCCGAGCTTAGTTGTGAGCTGTGCTGGTGCAAACCTGCTAATTTTATTGAACAAATCTGGTGTTGAGGATACCCACCCTAATTTTGATAGGCTAAATTTGGGAAAAAAAAAGGATAACTATACTTCGGCCTCCAAGATGCTAGGTAAATTTGAGACTTATTTTTTAAAAAAAAAAAAAAAAAAAAAAAAAAAAAAAAAAAAAAAAAAAAAAAAAAAAAAAAAAAAAATAGCATCTGACACCATAAAATATGTTAATTCTATGTGGGAATGTAATTTAACCCTTTCAGGGATAAATTACATTCCCACATTCTCTCATGATGTAGATCTACAGGAGGGGCCCTGGCCATCAAGACCAGGGCCCCTCCTGTAGATCTACATCATGAGCTCAGCTCACTCAGATAAGCTGTGACTGGTAAATTTTGGCCTAGATATGAGAGAATGGGTCTGCATGGTGAATGTGCACAGCAAAAATTCTGCCCTATGCAGTGCATTATGGGAAAAGCAAAACTCTGACCATGTGTTTGGTTTAACCCTTAAACGGTCCAAACGTATATATAGGTTCTCTCGGGTAGCACCCCGAATTTTTTGAGAAAAAAAAAATTATTTTTTAATAGGAAGAGAGAGCATATGGTACTCAGGTGTCCCCAATTTTTTTCATATGGTGCACAGTGAGTGCGCATACCCATTCTCTCATGTCTAGGTGACTCAGGCTTATCTTGCCAATGTTGAATGAATGACAAAGGAAACGTATATATACATTAGGGGCACTACGCGAGAGAACGTATATATACGCTTGGACCGTTTAACCCTTTGAGGGTCGACAGGCCCTCTCCGAAACTCGTTCTCAGGGTCGGCCAAATTTAAAAAAAAAAAAAAAATTATTTTCTCTTATGAAAAGATAGAGAATCTTTTCCCGATCATAAAGACACCAAAAGTTTGAAATTTGATAGAAAACTTACAGAATTATGCTCTCGCAAAGTTAGCGGTCTCGGCGATATTTACGCATCGGCGATTTTGCCCACTTTGAGCCCCATTTTCGGCCAATTTCACTGTACTAGTCGACAAAAAACATGAATATTTCGCTAGAACTCCATTTTTTCTATCGAATGGGTGCAAGAAACCACCCATTTATAAATTCAACTATCCAGTACAGTGGTCAGAATTTAGCAATTTTGCCAATTTCACACAAATTTCAAAAGATGCCAATTTCCGAATAGGGTCCAGAATAAACAAGAAAGACATTCCTGGCACTAAAATGACATTTCCTCTAGTCATTAGTCACGTCTCAAGGGCCCTCTTATATCCTTTTGCTTTCCACTTTGAATTTTTATTCTCACAAAAAATATAAGATTTACTGTTATGCAGACTACTGCATTAGTGTAAAAAATGGTATAAATATTATTGGTGCACTTGTAAAAGAATATTAGACCACCAGTTGACGTGTATTGCACGCTTGGCACGATTTGTTTACTTTGAAGTTTGGTAAAAATCGAACATTTCTGCTACTTTGAGCTCAATTTCAAGGCACCTTTCATTGTAAAACCAGTCAAAATCATCTCAATTTCTGTAATATGTCTTCCATTCTATAAAATGAGACCAAGAAAACTAGAATACAACAATAAATACCATACGAAAATACACTGCAAAGTCGCTGATTTATTAAAAAAAAATGGTCAAAGTTTTTTTTTTCTCATTATGCACTGTGTGCTGCAGGATTTTTTTTAGACTGTGCACACTGACCACATAGACCCATTCTTTCACATGAAGGTCTACCAGCTTTCTCCCACTAGATTTGAGGCCGCTAGAATTTATGAGTACTAGTACGTCAAAAACCCCTACGCGTAAAACGTACTAGTACGACCAAAACCCTCAAAGGGTTAAGGGTTAAAATAGTGACTTTTGTTTTCTAGGATGCTTTTTATGGTTTTACTGGCTGTTTCTTGGTAGCATTTTATAGAATGGAAGACAATTACCGAAACAGATGATTTTGATTGGTGTCAGAACAAAAAGTAAATTGAAATTGGGCTCAAAGTAGCAGAAATATTTGATTTTTTGACAATTTTTCTGAGGATGGGTAAGGCCCCCTACGTCCTCAATCTGCTTCATGGGTTTTTAATAGATCGGATTCAATTATTGGGACATTGTAAACCATGACCAATCATTCCTGGTTATATTTTATTATCTGAGAAATAGAGTAAACCTATTTTTGTGCAATTATGAATTCAAAATGGAAGGCAAGTGTAATATAGGAGAGGTCTGGGGATGTGATGAATGAACCAGGGAAATATTGTTTTAGTGCAACCAGAAATGTCTACAATGTTTATTTTGCACGATTTTTAGCCCTTAAATTGTCCAAACATAGGTCTACGTTTGCACACATAGCGATCCGACCTTGATTTTCTCCACGAGAAAGCATGTAAAAAAAAACGTAGATCTACGTTTGGAGCGCTATGCAAGCGAACGTAGATCTACATTTGGACAGTTTAAGGGTTAAGAGTGATATTTTTAATTTTGTGTAAAACTGGCCAAATTACTGACTGCTGTGCACTTTACAGGGTAACTGTAACAGTAATTGCATAGGCAGTTTCTTGTGCTCAACTGACAGAAATGAAAGTATACTAGCAAAATGGTTAAGAATTTGGTCAAATGAAGCAATGGAATCAAACTTAAAATAGGACTCAAAGTTGGTAAAACAACCGATGAAAAAATTGCGGCCCCCGTCTATTATGAGACGGTTTACTGTACATTATTTTATTCACAAAAATGCACTAAACTCTAATAATGTTGAAAAGTGAAACCACTTGACTCCATAGTTATGCTGAGGCTGAGGTCAGCATCAGTAGTGTTATGCTGAGGCTGAGGTCAGCATCAGTAGTGTTATGCTGAGGCTGAGGTCAGCATCAGTAGTGTTATGCTGAGGCTGAGGTCAGCATCAGTAGTGTTATGCTGAGGCTGAGGTCAGCATCAGTAGTGTTATGCTGAGGCTGAGGTCAGCATCAGTAGTGTTATGCTGAGGCTGAGGTCAGTATCAGTAGTGTTATGCTGAGGCTGAGGTCAGTATCAGTAGTGTTATGCTGAGGCTGAGGTCAGATCAATAGTGTTATGCTGAGGCTGAGGTCAGTATCAAGTAGTGTTATGCTGAGGCTGAGGTCAGTATCAGTAGTGTTATGCTGAGGCTGAGGTCAGTATCAGTAGTGTTATGCTGAGGCTGAGGTCAGCATCATAGTGTTATGCTGAGGCTGAGGTCAGCATCAAGTAGTGTTATGCTGAGGCTGAGGTCAGTATCAGTAGTGTTATGCTGAGGCTGAGGTCAGTATCAGTAGTGTTATGCTGAGGCTTAAGTCAGTATCAATAGTGTTATGCTGAGGCTGAGGTGAGTATCAATAGTGTTATGCTGAGGCTGAGGTCAGTATCAATAGTGTTATGCTGAGGCTGAGGTCAGTATCAATAGTGTTATGCTGAGGCTGAGGTCAGTATCAATAGTGTTATGCTGAGGCTGAGGTCAGTATCAATAGTGTTATGCTGAGGCTGAGATCAGTATCAATAGTGTTATGCTGAGGCTGAGATCAGTATCAATAGTGTTATGCTGAGGCTGAGGTCAGTATCAGTAGTGTTATGCTGAGGCTGAGGTCAGTATCAATAGTGTTATGCTGAGGCTGAGGTCAGTATCAATAGTGTTATGCTGAGGTGAGGTCAGTATCAATAGTGTTATGCTGAGGCTGAGGTCAGTATCAATAGTGTTATGCTGAGGCTGAGGTCAGTATCAGTAGTGTTATGCTGAGGCTGAAGTCAGTATCAATAGTGTTATGCTGAGGCTGAGGTCAATATCAATAGTGTTATGCTGAGGCTGAGGTCAGTATCAATAGTGTTATGCTGAGGCTGAGGTCAGTATCAATAGTGTTATGCTGAGGCTGAGGTCAGTATCAATAGTGTTATGCTGAGGCTGAGGTCAGTATCAATAGTGTTATGCTGAGGCTGAGGTCAGTATCAATAGTGTTATGCTGAGGCTGAGATCAGTATCAATAGTGTTATGCTGAGGCTGAGGTCAGTATCAGTAGTGTTATGCTGAGGCTGAGGTCAGTATCAGTAGTGTTATGCTGAGGCTGAGATCAGTATCAGTAGTGTTATGCTGAGGCTGAGGTCAGCATCAACAGTGTTATGCTGAGGTCAGCATCAGTAGTGTTATGCTGAGGCTGAGGTCAGTATCAGTAGTGTTATGGTGAGGCTGAGGTCAGTATCAGTAGTGTTATGCTGAGGCTGAGGTCAGTATCAGTAGTGTTATGCTGAGGCTGAGGTCAGTATCAGTAGTGTTATGCTGAGGCTGAGGTCAGTATCAGATAGTGTTATGCTGAGGCTGAGGTCAGTATCAGTAGTGTTATGCTGAGGCTGAGGTCAGTATCAGTAGTGTTATGCTGAGGCTGAGGTCAGTATCAGTAGTGTTATGCTGAGGCTGAGGTCAGTATCAGTAGTGTTATGCTGAGGCTGAGGTCAGTATCAGTAGTGTTAAGCTGAGGCTGAGGTCAGTATCAGTAGTGTTAAGCTGAGGCTGAGGTCAGTATCAGTAGTGTTATGCTGAGGCTGAGGTCAGCATCAGTAGTGTTATGCTGAGGCTGAGGTCAGCATCAGTAGTGTTATGCTGAGGCTGAGGTCAGCATCAGTAGTGTTATGCTGAGGCTGAGGTCAGCATCAGTAGTGTTATGCTGAGGTCAGCATCAGTAGTGTTATGCTGAGGTCAGTATCAGTAGTGTTATGCTGAGGCTGAGGTCAGTATCAGTAGTGTTATGCTGAGGCTGAGGTCAGTATCAGTAGTGTTATGCTGAGGCTGAGGTCAGTATCAGTAGTGTTAAGCTGAGGCTGAGGTCAGTATCAGTAGTGTTAAGCTGAGGCTGAGGTCAGTATCAGTAGTGTTAAGCTGAGGCTGAGGTCAGTATCAGTAGTGTTATGCTGAGGTCAGCATCAATAGTGTTATGCTGAGGCTGAGGTCAGCATCAATAGTGTTATGCTGAGGCTGAGGTCAGCATCAGTAGTGTTATGCTGAGGCTGAGGTCAGTATCAGTAGTGTTATGCTGAGGCTGAGGTCAGTATCAGTAGTGTTATGCTGAGGCTAAGGTCAGTATCAGTAGTGTTATACTGGGGCTGAGGTCAGTATCAGTAGTGTTATGCTGAGGCTGAGGTCAGTATCAGTAGTGTTATACTAGGGCTGAGGTCAGTATCAGTAGTGCTATACTGAGGCTGAGGTCAGTATCAGTAGTGTTATACTGAGGCTGAGGTCAGTATCAGTAGTGTTATACTGAGGCTGAGGTCAGTATCAGTAGTGTTATACTGAGGCTGAGGTCAGGATCAGTAGTGTTATACTGAGGCTGAGGTCAGTATCAATAGTGTTATGCTGAGGCTGAGGTCAGTATCAGTAGTGTTATACTGAGGCTGAGGTCAGGATCAGTAGTGCTATACTGAGGCTGAGGTCAGTATCAGTAGTGTTATACTGAGGCTGAGGTCAGTATCAGTAGTGTTATACTGAGGCTGAGGTCAGGATCAGTAGTGCTATACTGAGGCTGAGGTCAGTATCAGTAGTGTTATACTGAGGCTGAGGTCAGTATCAATAGTGCTATACTGAGGCTGAGGTCAGTATCAGTAGTGTTATACTGAGGCTGAGGTCAGTATCAATAGTGTTATGCTGAGGTCAGTATCAATAGTGTTATGCTGAGGTCAGTATCAATAGTGTTATGCTGAGGTCAGTATCAATAGTGTTATGCTGAAGTTTATACTCATAAATCTCGTCCTTTCCTCCCTTCCCCCCAAATTAATTTTGTCCCAGTTGGCATCTTAGTTTATAACATGGATCTCTTAACAAAAAATACAATTCTCTTAAATTATGTTTGGTCGAACAAAGCTTTTGTGTGTTCCCTATCCAGGTTAAGCAAGGGTAGACTGTACATATAATAAAAAACTACAATTACACTAAAAAAATCAAATTTCCTGGATTTCTTAAATTTTATCTAATTTAACATCAATCATGTCTTCCTATGCCTTTTATATTAGCATCAAACTTCTAAATTCCTAATTAAATTATTTCAAGCATTTAACGGCAAATACTAAAATTACCTCCAGATTCCTCCTACAAATCATGCTTCTCTAGTAGTATCCACTCAGTTTTGTAATAAAAAAAGCAGCTATGTATAAATTTTGAAGGTTATTGTAGCGTGCACTGGTGATAAAGCAGAGCAGCAGGGTACAATACTGTACAGTAAAGTAAAAAATCCAAATATATACTTACCATATCATATCCTGGCATGGTAGAGTGGTGGGTGTTAGCGTGTGGTTCAGTCTCCAGTGGTCGCCCTGCAGGTGAAGGTGTTGATGGTGATGAACCAGGCAACCTGGCAACTTCCACACGAGGTGGTTCCAGGAAACGCGGGTTGGGGTAGCGTGGATGCATGTTCATTCCAATAAACTCCCCATGAACTGCCCTCTGCTCATCTATGAAGACTCGATGATGTCCTGCATTATCTTCAATAGCAGCTGCAGGAGCAACTCTAGCATGGGAGGTCTCATAGGCTACTGCAGGTGTACCAGGAATTGGCCGTCCCTCCATTATGAGATCCGCAGGTTGTGGCTGGTTAGCGGATGCACTCGTCTTTGGCACCACAGCAGCTCGGCTAACTGGTTGGGTCATGCTCACTCCAGTAGATGCTAAAGACTTTGGTGGATAGTAAGGAGAGGCAGGCACAGTGACACTTGTCTTACGTACATGGTTCCCAGGAGGTACTGCTGCAGGCGAGGCAACCACACCCATGATTTTTACCTGAGCAGGCCAAAAAAGAATTCTCTGCATAATATTTATACCACACACTGCCCTCAGACATGATATCTCCACTGCCTCCAACTTCCTCCTCACTACACATTCAAAACCCATGCTTCACACCCATATAAGTGTTGGTACCACTATGCTCATACATTTCCCCTTTTTGCCTCTATGGATAACATTCTTTGTCTCCACAGATGCCTCAATGCACCACCCATCTTTTTTCATTTTGTTATTTCTATGGTTCACCTTGTCTTTCATAGAACTTGCTCCTACTATCTAAAATCTTCGAAAAATTAATTCACAAACAAGTTACTCCTACTTTGTATCCTACAACATACTCAACCCCTGTCAGTTTGGGTTCAGACTGAAAAAAAGTACTAATGATGCTATTATATATATATATTATATTATATATTATCACACCGGCCGATTCCCACCAAGGCAGGGTGGCCCGAAAAAGAAAAACTTTCACCATCATTCACTCCATCACTGTCTTGCCAGAAGGGTGCTTTACACTACAGTTTTTAAACTGCAACATTAACACCCCTCCTTCAGAGTGCAGGCACTGTACTTCCCATCTCCAGGACTCAAGTCCGGCCTGCCGGTTTCCCTGAATCCCTTCATAAATGTTACTTTGCTCACACTCCAACAGCACGTCAAGTATTAAAAACCATTTGTCTCCATTCACTCCTATCAAACACGCTCACGCATGCCTGCTGGAAGTCCAAGCCCCTCGCACACAAAACCTCCTTTACCCCCTCCCTCCAACCCTTCTAGGCCGACCCCTACCCCGCCTTCCTTCCACTACAGACTGATACACTCTTGAAGTCATTCTGTTTCGCTCCATTCTCTCTACATGTCCGAACCACCTCAACAACCCTTCCTCAGCCCTCTGGACAAAGTTTTGGTAATCCCGCACCTCCTCCTAACTTCCAAACTACGAATTCTCTGCATTAATTCACACCACACATTGCCCTCAGACATGACATCTCCACTGCCTCCAGCCTTCTCCTCGCTGCAACATTCATCACCCACGCTTCACACCCATATAAGAGCGTTGGTAAAACTATACTCTCATACATTCCCCTCTTTGCCTCCAAGGACAAAGTTCTTGTCTCCACAGACTCCTAAGTGCACCACTCACTCTTTTTCCCTCATCAATTCTATGATTCACCTCATCTTTCATAGACCCATCCGCTGACACGTCCACTCCCAAATATCTGAATACGTTCACCTCCTCCATACTCTCTCCCCCCCAATCTGATATTCAATCTTCATCACCTAATCTTTTTGTTATCCTCATAACCTTACTCTTTCCTGTATTCACCTTTAATTTCCTTCTTTTGCACACCCTACCAAATTCATCCACCAATCTCTGCAACTTCTCTTCAGAATCTCCCAAGAGCACAGTGTCATCAGCAAAGAGCAGCTGTGACAACTCCCACTTTGTGTGTGATTCTTTATCTTTTAACTCCACGCCTCTTGCCAAGACCCTCGCATTTACTTCTCTTACAACCCCCTCTATAAATATATTAAACAACCACGGTGACATCACACATCCTTGTCTAAGGCCTACTTTTACTGGGAAAAAATTTCCCTCTTTCCCACATACTCTAACTTGAGCCTCACTATCCTCGTAAAAACTCTTCACTGCTTTCAGTAACCTACCTCCTACACCATACACTTGCAACATCTGCCACATTGCCCCCCTATCCACCCTGTCATACGCCTTTTCCAAATCCATAAATGCCACAAACACCTCTTTAGCCTTATCCAAATACTGTTCACTTATATGTTTCACTGTAAACACCTGGTCCACACACCCCCTACCTTTCCTAAAGCCTCCTTGTTCATCTGCTATCCTATTCTCCGTCTTACTCTTAATTCTTTCAATTATAACTCTACCATACACTTTACCAGGTACACTCAACAGACTTATCCCCCTATAATTTTTGCACTCTCTTTTATCCCCTTTGCCTTTATACAAAGGAACTATGCATGCTCTCTGCCAATCCCTAGGTACCTTACCCTCTTCCATACATTTATTAAATAATTGCACCAACCACTCCAAAACTATATCCCCACCTGCTTTTAACATTTCTATCTTTATCCCATCAATCCCGGCTGCCTTACCCCCTTTCATTTTACCTACTGCCTCACGAACTTCCCCCACACTCACAACTGGCTCTTCCTCACTCCTACAAGATGTTATTCCTCCTTGCCCTATACACGAAATCACAGCTTCCCTATCTTCATCAACATTTAACAATTCCTCAAAATATTCCTTCCATCTTCCCAATACCTCTAACTCTCCATTTAATAACTCTCCTCTCCTATTTTTAACTGACAAATCCATTTGTTCTCTAGGCTTTCTTAACTTGTTAATCTCACTCCAAAACTTTTTCTTATTTTCAACAAAATTTGTTGATAACATCTCACCCACTCTCTCATTGCTCTCTTTTTACATTGCTTCACCACTCTCTTAACTTCTCTCTTTTTCTCCATATACTCTTCCCTCCTTGCATCACTTCTACTTTGTAAAAACTTCTCATATGCTAACTTTTTCTCCCTTACTACTCTCTTTACATCATCATTCCACCAATCGCTCCTCTTCCCTCCTGCACCCACTTTCCTGTAACCACAAACTTCTGCTGAGCACTCTAACACTACATTTTTAAACCTACCCCATACCTCTTCGACCCCATTGCCTATGCTCTCATTAGCCCATCTATCCTCCAATAGCTGTTTATATCTTACCCTAACTGCCTCCTCTTTTAGTTTATAAACTAATATACTAATATACTCTGCACTCGAGAAAAATCAATTTCCCCTGGGACTTTTCAAAGACTTATGAAAAGCTTTTGATACAGTGGACCATGACCTTTTGCACCTAAAACTCAAACATTAAGGGGTCAGAGAACACTCTCCCGATTAACAAAAATCTAAACAATAGAACCCAGTATGTATACACAAATGGAGCCAGCTCCACTACACAACCTATTCTTGTTGGAGTCCCACAGGGGAGTGTCCTTGGCCCACTTCTCTTACTCATTTACATCAATGACCTACCAAATGCATGACTTAAGAAATCGTAATGACACGATTGCAAATAAACCATACCCCCGGCCGGGATTGAACCCGCGGTCATAGAGACTCTATGACCGCGGGTTCAATCCCGGCCGGGGGTATGGTTTACCAAATGCATCTAATCTCCTTAAAAACATTTTATTTGCAGATGACACTATGTACTTATGTCTTCTCTCACCCAAACTCAACCATACTAACAGACACTGTCAATGCCGAACTGCTAAAAATATCTACCTGGATGACTACCAACAAACTTACTCTCAATATAGACAAAACCTACTTCATGCTATTTGGAAATAAGAGCTTCAAACGTACAGCTAAACATATTGATAAATGGTTCACCCATTTCTAGACAGACAGGGGGCAAATTTCTACGTCTCCACCTTGACATCAGTCTCAAATTTTCAATACAAACATACCTATGATACAGTTTAATTGAAAAATTATGCACAGGAAGTTGAGAATTAGCATTTTTTCACTTATGTGAAGCATTTCACAGTTTCTCTTATGCTTTGAAGAACTACCAGCATCACTAGTCCTGTGATTTAGAGCCATTATTAAGCAAAATTTAAGTGTTATTTTTGGGCCAAGGTAAACTACAGATAACTGAAACCGAGGAAACCAAATCAGTGGATACGAGGGTTGTACTGTACATACAGTGGTACCCCGAGTTTCAAACTTTCTTCGTTCCAGAAGGCTGTTCAAGTGCTGATACCAAACGAATTTGTTCCCATGAGGAATAATGTAAATTAGATTAATCCGTTTCAGACCCCACAAATACACTTACGAAAGCACTTACAATAATACACTTCCAGTTCGAAACTCGGGATACCACTGTATATTGATCTACAAAAGGCTTTGAGCCCTGTTGACCACAATATTCCTCTTTACCCATCAACAGATGGATAAAATACTGTACATGTATTTAAGTTTCAACATTAAGACCGAAGAAGCGTGAACATAACGAATAATAGCTCTCTTAACCTAGACACTTACTGTGTTTTCCAGCATATAAAGTGCATTTTTTTCTCTCACAAAAAGTCTTGAAAAATCACCCTGGGCCTTATATGCTCAGGGTCAAAGGTAGTCTTTGGGTTATGTTTTAGCAGTTGTTTACTAATGTTACATTACAATATTACAATTGCATGGTAACATTGTTTTATGTGTCTAGCACAATCATGCACCCTAAATCCTGGAAAATACAGTACTTCTTTCAATGAGTGTTTTGTCTACACTACAAAACATTCATTAATCAAGTTTAATTAATGAGGAAAACTCTACCTTTGACTGTGGTGGTTGCTGTACTGGTTGTACTTGTTGCTGTTGTGGTACTTGCTGCTGCTGCTGTTGTTGTTGCTGCTGCTGCTGCTGCTGCTGCACCTGCTTTTGTTGTAAATGTTGCACCTGCTTTTGAACCTGTTGCACTTGTTTTTGCACCTGCTTTTGCACCTGCTGTTGAACCTGTTTCTGCACTTGCTGTAGCTGCTGCTGAGGCATCTGCTGAGAGATCTGCTGGGATACCTGCTGAGGTATTTGTTGGGGGACTTGCTGGGGAATTTGCTGGGATATCTGCTGGGGCATCTGCTGGGAAATCTGCTGAGAGATCTGCTGGGGTATTTGTTTTGTTATCTGCTGAGGGATCTGTTTTGGGATCTGCTGGGGGGACAGCTGCTGCTGAATTGGTTGCTGCTGCACTTGCGTTTGTTGCTGCTGCAATGGCATAGTTTTCTGCTTTCCAATATACACTGGTGCAGTTACAGCAGGTCGTGGCACTCCTCCTAAAGTGACAACAGCAGTTATAGCACTACGAACTGGCTGAACTTGGGTTGGAGTGAGAGCAGAGGGTAAGGTAGGTGATATGGCAGTAGATATGGTAGGAACCATAGTAGGAATACCAGCTGAGACTTGAAGAGGGACAGAGAGGGGAGGACGAACTCTAGGGACTAGTTCCACACTGACCTCTCCTACACGACCCACATTCATCAATGGAACACCAATATTACCGCTGTTGGAAACTGCTAGAGTCACACCTGGTCGACATCTACTGGTCAGAGTTGTTGAATGAGACACATCAGCAATACTACTACTACTGCTACTGCTGCTGCTGCTGCTGCTGCTGATTACAGAACTTGCAATAGAGCTAACATTGGTGTTGGCACAAAGTGATGTAGGAACAAGCTGTTGCTTGGAGATGTGGTCTGTACTGGGAAAGGGATGTAGGGTGGAAGGTATGGCAGTTTCACCACTATCCGTGACATATTGACCTTCCTCGCAGACCTTCACCCGTGTTACAACACCGGTTACTGGGTCTACCAACTCTGCTTCAGACTTGCGATCCTCAATAGATGGCATCACCAAGGCAGTTGTACTGGTTTTAACTACGCTTGTGACTATTGTGGAAACGCTCGTTACTGTAGTTGTTATAGAGGATATGGACTGAGGGGTGCATAAAGATGGTTTATCCATGTCTAACTGTGAATCAAAGGAGCGTGGACGACCACGGGGACTCTTGCGCACTGATCCTTCATCCTCAACATCGAAATCATTTTTAACATCAATGTCTCGTTGTTTACCACGACCACGTCCCCGGGTGGATACAGACTGAACTGTGGATACAACATTTATGGGTACTGTAACAGGTAAAGTTGTCGTTGCAGTAGTAGTAATAAGCAAAGGATCTGTGCCATCCAAAATAATTGGTTCATTACTATTTCCTTCATCGTTTACACCTAAACCCTGTATCTCGTCCTCTCCTGCCTTATCACGAAGTCTACCTGATCTTCGGGTAATTGGTGCTATAGGACGAATATCCTCAGTTTCCACTCGACGCACTTCATCTGATTCACATTTAACTGGGCTTCGACTAGCAACAGATCTAGCTGGATCTTTTTTAATTTTGGTTTTTGCTAGACCTAAGTTGATGTCTTCATCTTCAGACTCGTGGAAATCATACACATCTGAAGCTGCTGGTACTGGTAATGGGCGACTATCTTCAGGCTGATTCGTACGGCCACCACGACCCCGGCGTCGACGCCCGCTTGTTTCATCATGATCTACCATGTCTGGATGTCGTCGAGCACGTTTTGTCCGGCTGCTTCGTCTGGGCTCTGGCAAGATCTTGTCTGTAACTGGATTCAGTAAAATATCTGTCTGAACTGAATCCTTTTGACTTTCACTGTTACGAGTCTGACGTCCACGACCCCGACCCTTAGCTCGTGTTATGGCACAAGACCTAGTGACAGGGAGCATAGAATTGCAAGTCTCATCTGTGACCTCTGGAGCCCGTCTTCCTCCCCGTCGACCACGTCCTCGACCTCTACCGCGAAATGTTACTAGATTACGATCTTCTATTTTTGAATCGTTTTTTATAATTTCTTCAGAAAGTGAATCAATTTCTTGTTCTGGAGACTTTTCTTCTAATGTAATATTTTCACTCTGATTTTGTATTTCAGAACACACTTGTTCTAGCTTTGCTAAGTCATCCTGAGGATGAGGTAATGTACACTGTTTGAGAGAAATTTCTTCTGGACTTGACTTTTGTTCCATACACAAGGAAGATTCCTCTGCATTTGGCTGAGAAGCTCTCTCTATATCGGGTTGTGTGGCTGTCTCACTTACAATTGTTTGAAGATTTGCTAAAGCCCGTTCAACTGTCATTGGATTACTAACACTTTCAACCTTAATGGCTTCAGATGTAGTTTTATCACTGGAGACCAGAGCCTCAAGTCCTTGTTTGGACTCGATACATGGAGGCAACAGAGTTTCCTCTTTTATATTTACATCTGGCGAGATCTGCGAATCTAAAATGCAGTGTGTGTTAACAGTTTTAGTGTTTGTTGCAACAGTTGGGATATTAGTGGTCACACATTCATCACTACCCAAAGGTTTCATGTCCTTACTAGTATCATCTGAACATTCTTCTTTTATGCTTTTATTTAAATCAAGTTTGGTATCAATAATTTCTATTGGTTCTGTGGCAATTTTTGGTTCTGCTGCTGGAATGGGTACTGAAGAAGGAACAGATCTAGTAATAGGAACAGGTGTTAATGTAGTAGTAGTGCAAGCTGTCTGTGTAAGAGAGGATATGGAAGCTGTTGTATTAACTGGAGAGAGATCTGGTACAGACATAGGCAATGCTGCTGAAGAAACACCTGATATTTGTGATGCATTAGGAGCAGCTGAAGTGATGGTGGGTACTGTGGTGGAGATGGATGGTGGTATATTACCAGTGAAAGCAGCAGCAGTGCAAGGTGTTGTGCAAGGTATTGGAGTGGATGTTCGCACAGGAGCCAAAGTTGTTAATGAAATGGATGTCTCCACTAATGTGGGGGCCAGTATGGGCATACTAGTGTGAACTGATGTGGTAGTCAAATTTGAGTTACAAGTGGAAGAGGCAGTTGATGTACATACAGAAATAGAAGTTGGAATGGAACCTGAAGTGCACACAGGCATTGAAATAGGTAAGGAAGTCGGAATCGTCTCGGTGGTGGATACAGAAGATGGACTAGTCATAGAAACAGGAGAGGACACTTTAGGGGACTTAGATACAGAGACAGGAGTGGATATGGATGCTGCTACAGTAGTAACTGAAGAAGTTAAAGAGCAAAGTGAGGTACACACAGAATTTACAGGAGAACTTGTTACTGTTAAAGAAGAAACTAAGGATGAAGGAGTACCTGGCAAACTAGAAGTTGAAACAGCTTCTGAAGCAAAATTCTGACTATCCAGCTTTGATTTCAAAAGTCCATCTACAGCACAAGACTTAACTGTGGAAGATAAAGATGGGTCTGTTGTGTTTTCCATGTCTTCTACAGGTTTTGAATTAGATTCTAAAGAACATGTTGGTGAAGTTATTGATATGCAAGAATTCAATTCAGGACATGAAGCTTTTACAGGCAGCAAATCGGGCTTTAAAGAATCCAAGTCAACAGACTCTTCTGACACCACTGTGGGCTTATGAGCAGGTTTGAATTTCTCTGGAAATGTTGGTGATTCTACCAGAGTTGAACATACAACAGGAGATGCAAGTTTTACAGGAGCTGTGTGCTTCACTGGAGATAACACAGGTGTCAAAAGATGTGGTGATGACAATGTATGTGTTTTCACACAGGATGCAGTAGACTTCGTTGAGGTTTCAACAGTGCTAGGAGCAACAGCCGGGAGTGATGTCTCAACAGAGACCTCAGGTAAAGTCAGTGCTGGCTGACTGGCCTTTTCTTTGACAGTTTGGGAAGGTGGACTTGCTAATTCTTGAGCAGGCTTCCCAGATTTTGCATGCTGTGTCAGTTCTGTCTTATCTGCTTGGTCAACTTTATCATCAACTTCATCACTATGACCACCACTTGATGTCAATGGTATTGATACGGATTCCATTACACCTGTTTTTTCACTAGTGCTGGACCAAGAAGAATCATGAGTTGAATGATCATTTTCTTGTGTCTGACTATGGGTTCTCTGCTCTTCATTAGTTAATGTAGATGAATCTAAATCATCAGTAGTATCCGGTTGGTCTTCATCAATCTGTAATTCTGGCTCTGATTGTATAGATGCTGGACTATCAGGTAACACTTGTGAAAATCTTCTATTTTCAACTTCAGGTTCATGTTGTTCTTCAGCTTCCTCTTGTTGTACCACTGGTTGGGAATCAGGTTCTTCAACAACTTTCACAGGGGTAGAAGGTGGATTATGAGGTGGCTGTTGTGGCCAAGCATCTTCTCTTTCACCGGGCATTTCACACTGTAGCATCTGAGCAGCTTTCTGGGCTTCTTCAAAAGCCTCGTCGGCCACTGCCGAGGTGTCAGGAGGCAAGAGTGTCTCTTCCACACCTGGTTGTGCAGCAGCCGCAGTAACAGCATCATCGCTATATTCGTCATAACATGCAAGAAGTCCTGCTACAGCATTCAAAGTTTCTTCTTGAGAAATGACAGCTCTGGAAGTTTTCCTGAACCACTTCCGCTCGTTGAAGCATTGGCATCAACAGATGTATCTGGTGCACTGAGATTTGATGCTTCTGTTATATCCTCGAATATTGGCTCGTGAGCTGTGGAGGGTGGCGGTGATGATGGAACATGAGATGTTAGAGACTGGACTGCTGACTCAGCTGCATCTGATGTAAGTGCAGCAAGAGGATGCGGACTTCGACCTTCTTTAACCTCGGACGATTCACTACCTTCTCTAGACTCGACAGATACCCTGGAGTCTCTTGACAGGGTTCGTGCAGGTGGGCTTTGTAGTGGTGGTGGTTCTAGAGGGCTATGCGGTGTACAGGTCTCAGTAGAGTTGCAGACTGATACTGCAGACAGGGGCATTATTTGCTGATTATGTGGACTGACAGGAGTCTGGCCTTCATGGCTAGCAGTTATTTTGTCCTGTGGACTAAGAAGACAAGGTGAAGGCAGTTCATGTGGGCTGTTAGGAGAGAGTGCATCTATGTGCAACAAGGATGAATGGTCATTATCATGCTGGTCATTGGGATGTTCGGGCAAGTGGTCTTCACCAGGATGACGATGATGGCGTCTACCACGGCTGCCATCCTTCTCTCTTCTCTGCCTTTTCTTTCTCTTCTTATCTTTCCGGGAGTCACGCTGCTCGCTTGGCTCCTCTTCAGTGGCACGAAATGTATCCACGGTAACGCTAGGCTCAGAGTCCCGGTACTCTGGCTCCTCTTTCACAGCCTCTATTGAATGTTGCACATCTGCTTGAGGTATTTCTTCAACTGTACTATTACTAGCAATAACACTTGTACTAGGTAAATTGTTGGTACTTGAGCTATTATTACTTATTTTTCTAGAATCAGAAACTGGCCTGATAACCTCAGCTGAAGGAAGAGATTCACGTCTCAATTTTTCTTTCTTCAAACTTCGTCGTTCCTCTATTCTGCTCTCAGGTTTAATTTTATTCTCAATTTTGGTTTCACTCTTCGATTCTAACCACGAGCCATCTTGAGTGCTTTGTTTACTTCGGACATGAGCATGTCTCGATGAATTTGGTGTAGAAGGCATGTGTGTGTCATCCGAGTCAGTATCATACACTTCACATACTGTAAGTCTTGTCGGTGCAGGGGATAACGGTGGTGGGGCAGTAGAGGTGCCCGAGGAAGCTGATCCTTTTCTTCTTGAAGTTGCTGATGCAGGACACACACAAGGTAAGCTGGGAGTTGGATCAGAGTCATCAGATATATGACCAAATATAATCTCCATTCTATCATCTTTTTTCGAGGATGTTTTATCTCTAGTCACTCCACTTTCCCCTGTTCGCTTTCTTTCCCGCTGGGGTTGTAAAACTGGCTTTTCTAGTCGTAGTTCAACTGCTTCAACTTTCACTTTTGGGCGGATGGAACGAGAATCTTCCGATGGTGCACCGGCCTCACTCTCATCCGAAGTCGTAATGATTTCTTTACTAATTGTAACACCTTTTTTGGGCTTCTCCTTAATACGAACAGGTTTGCGCTCTTTATCACGAACCTTCACTCTAGCCGCTGGTTTTGGTGGTTTCGTGTGAGAGGAAATATCGGAAACCTCACTTTCAGATTCAAGTTGGCGCAAAGGTTTGCTCTGTCTTTTAACATGGGCATCACTCTCGGTATCTGAATCAATGGAGAAGTGGTTTCCGCGACTGCGAATATCAGTAGACTCCGCGACTTCAGGATTACTATTTTGTCTGATATTGGGAGGAAATCTAGGAGAATTCACAATAACTTCATCATCAGTAGTAACATCAGACACAATCAAATTTTTAGGTTTTTGTTTTACTTCCTTTTTACAGGAAGTTATTGAAGACATTTTTTTCTTATCCGTCCTCGAACAAACATCGTCATCAGTTTCATCCGATGAATGGTGCGTAGGGCGGCGCTTTCGGAGAGCATCGTCATCCGAGCTGGCTAGCCTGTTGTGTCCTCGCTTCTGCCCTCGGCTGTTACTGTCGCCTTCTTCTTCAGAATCCGAGATGTCCGAATGAACAGGTAAAGTTGCTTTCTTTTCTTTCCTGGCTCGCTGGTGCTGCCGATATTTCTGCATCTGTAACTGTTTTAATTCTTGCTGTCTTCTCTCCTCTTCCTGTTTTTGCTGTCTTTTGAGTCTTCTTGCTTTCACCTTATCATACATGTCATATTTACCATCATCAGCAGGAATGTCAAATATAGAGTGTTTTTTTGGCACCTCTTCCTCCTCTTCCTCCTCCTCTTCCTCTCCCTCTTCTGCCTCTCCACCAGAACCTGTCAAACTATCACAAGAATCACTTTCTGCATCAAATATAGACTTATTTTTGTTACCCTGTTTGCTCTTCTGACTTGTACACATTCCTATTCGAATCTGTTGATGCTGTTTAGTACTTGTGCTATTACGTCTGGCTACAATCGCTACCTTAGACCTGGTCACTTCATCTTCCGATGTTGCAATATCACTGGCAGGCAACTGAGGGTCCAGAGAATCTGTGCGCCCTTTTACTCTTGCTGGTTGCGGTGGATTAGTCTTGGCTCTACAGGGAGTTACTTTCAATCGTGCCTCTCCATCGCTCTTGTCACTCTTACCAGAGTCGTGTTTTCTACGGCGACCGTCACGAAATCTATCGCCTTTCCTCTCTTCAGAATCTCCACATAAATCACCTTTGTCTATTCGGTGAACGGAATCTTCTGTACGAGATATACAAGAGTCGTGATTGGGCGTTGCCGTGTCCTCACCACTGGAATAATGAACAGAGGAAGTTTTGCTCAATTCTATAATCTCTTCTTCATCGGTTTCGAGCAGGCGAGACCTACGAAGTTTGTTCTTCAGAGTATCGTTACCCTCTGACATTTCATAAGGTCTGCGGTGATGCTTGAGAACAGTCTCGTGCCGGGAATCTTTACGCTTGTCATTATGGCGGTCGTTGTGGCGGCCATCCCGTCTGGTGTCCGTCCTCTCGGCGTTGTCACGGTGGTTCAGTCGCCCTATTTTTTCTTTCTCTCTCTCCCGAGCTCTATCATTAATTTTCATTTTCTCCTTTTCTTTCTCACGTTCTCTCTCTTTATCCATGGTTTTCTCTCTCTCCTTTTCTATGACTTTATCTGTTGTCTTCTCTCTCTCATTTGCCTTTTTTCTTTCCTTTTCTAGAGACTTTTCTCTTTCTTTCTCTATGGTCTTCTCCCTCTCCCTCTCGATGGTCTTTTCTCTATCCCTTTCAAAAACTTTATCTCGCTCAAGAGTCTTTTCTCTCTCTCTTTCTAGAGCTTTCTCTCTTTCTCGCTCTTGAGCTTTTTCCCTTTCTCTCTCAAAAGCCTTCTCTTTTTCTCTCTCTAAAGCCTTCTCTTTTTCTCTCTCTAAAGCCTTTTCTCTTTCTCTCTCTAAGGCCTTTTCCCTTTCTCTCTCTAAAGCTTTTTCCCTTTCTCTCTCTAAAGCCTTTTCCCTTTCTCTCTCTAAAGCCTTTTCCCTTTCTCTCTCTAAAACCTTTTCCCTCTCTCTTTCTAGAGCCTTTTCCCTTTCTCGTTCAAGAGCCTTTTCTCTCTCAAGTGCTCTCTCTCTTTCAAGAGCTTTTTCTCTCTCCTTTTCTAAAGATTTATCCTTTTCCTTTTCTAATGCCTTCTCTCTCTCTTTCTCTAAAGTCTTCTCTCTCTCCTTTTCTTTCTCTTCTTCTTTCTCACGTTCCTTTTCTCTTTCTTTCTCCTTCTCTTTCTCCCGCTCTCTCTTCTCGACCTCCTTCTCATACCTGGAAGATGTCGAAGAGCTTTTAAGTCTGTCTCTATCTTTTGTTTTCTCTTTTTTGTCTTTGTGCTTCTGGTCTCTGGGTTCTGTTCTCTTGTCCTCACTGTGTCTTCGCTTATCTCCTTCGCTTTTGACTTTCTCCTCGCGTGTGCTCTCTCTCCTCTCATCTTTTTTCTCCTCTCTCTTCTCATCTTTCTTCTCTTCGTGCTTTTCGTCTTTTTTGTCATCTCTACGTTCTTCTCTCTTATCTTCTCTACGTTCTTCTTTCTTGTCTTCCCTACGTTCTTCTTTCTTGTCTTCTTTTCTTTCTTCTTTTCTGTCCTCACTTTTCCTCTCGCAATTTTTGTCCACTATTCGCAATTCAGATTTTCCTTCGTGAAATTTTTCATCCAATTTATCTTTTCTTCTCTCTCTCTTCTCCTCTTTTTTATGGCCATCCTCCTTTTTATCCTCCAATTTGTTGTCATAAGCTTTTCTTTTCTGTTTGGTCTCCAATACGTCGAACGTTCTGTTGTTGACTTTATCGTCAAGAGTTTCTTTCAAGTCATCTCTGCGATTACATCTCTTCTTGTCACGCTCACTCTTTTTAGCCTCACGGGTGTCGCGAGAGTCCCGTCGCTCTCTGCCCACTTTGTCCCGCAAAATCCTGTCATCCTCGCCATCGTATCTCATCCGTTTTGAGTCTGGTTCTAGGGTTTTCCCATCAAGTTTATATCGAGGGTCACTGTCTACACTGCTATGTCTGCGTTTGTGGTTATTAGTCACTTCCTTGGTCTCACTTTTTATATTTTCCACTTTGATGTTCTCCAGTTTAATAGGTTCACTTTTTATAGTTTCAGATTTAAAACTTTCAACTTTTATATTTTCTGCTTTAATTGCATCTACCTTGAATTCTGTTTTCAGATGGGTAGTAATATGTTCAGCAGCAACTGCCATCACCACTTCTTTACTTTCATTAATTTCCTTCATAAACTCTTTGGTTTTAGTATCCTCTAATCTGAATTGATCACTTTTTATTCTTTGAAGAATAGGGTCTCCTGCCTCTTCCACTGAAGGCTCTTCTTTTACTAATAACGGGAGAGCATGACTGCCACTCCTTTCAGGTACATTATGCGGTGAAGAGTCTCCTGCAGCAGGACGTGCAGCAAGGCTGGAGACCGGCTGCAGGAGGCTGGTGGTAGTGGTCAGCACCGACTTGCTGCTCGACACCGACTGCGTTACCGACACTACGCCAGTAACACGAGTATCTGCAACAACCGTCACCACTCCACTCGATGACCCTCCCCCTGGAACCTCTCCCGCGTCTCCCGTGACGACCGGCAAGTCGAGACGCACTGCCCGGGGCTGCATGGAAGTACGTCTGAGTGGCGTGGCAGCTGAGGTAGTATTAGTGGCGGTAGCAATGGAAGAGGTGGTGGTGAGGGGTGGTGCTGGACTTACGGGTGTTATCGGAGACATGTGTGGTGGATGGGCAGGACTTACACCAGGACTGACACCGGGACTGAAGCCAGGGCTGGAGGCAGGCGGGCGTACTGCCTGAGAAGCCGCAGGTCTGTGCAGTGGTGACAATCCCTGAGACTTACTGACCTGCGGGACAGAAACAAACACCCTAGGAACTTGTGAAGGACTCGAAGTGATGGGTTGTTGTGGCTGTACTTGATGACTGCTTAGTCTAACACCTGGCAGACTACTGATAGGAGTAGCAGAGGGCACAGCAGGTGGGGCAGCAGGAAGGCGTGGCATGTGCGTGTTTACCAATGGTGGACTTGGTATGATACTTCCAGCTTTGCTAGTACGTGTAGCTGAAGTAAATGGCTTAGGCTCGTATTTATCGCCAACATTTTCCAGTCGTTTGCTATCCTCATCGAAGACTGATCTCTTTGAAAGAAGGGATTTAACAATATCGGACGGCTGTGACCGCAACTCTTCAAGATCAAGTATCCGTGGAAGTCGAGCATTCTTGCTTCCACTGCCACCCGAACTGCTACTACTATCATTCACCACTTCGTTTGCATTTGAAGTTAAGCTGTTCCCTACCACCCTCGAAGAACCCGACCACTTTTCGTACTTCTCGTCTAAAGCACGGATCCGCTGCTCTAAATCAATAGAAGGGCTACACGGCGAGGGCAGAGGCGATTCTTCCGAGTCTGAAGGGCTGTCCCGTGGGCCAGGTGACAGTGGTGTATCCAATACTGCACCGCTCACTTCTCTGGTCTCTCCTCGAATGCCAACACTAGTCCCACCACTGAAAGGAGGAGATCTCAACAGACTGGCACCTTTAGGAGATGTTGATGCAGCACGTGGTGATAAGTGAGCCCGAACTTGTTGTGCAAATCTAGGTAATGGCAGAGAGAGTGGAACATTGTGGTAGCGATCTCTATGGTGATGGTGATGGTGATTATGATGGTGGTGGTGGTGGTGGTGTAATGTGTGACGTACAGGGTCTGAGGAGTCATCCCTCTCATCACGGACGGGGGTACCAGGAGGACTGGTGTCACTATGGTCTGCAGCTGCATCACATGATGACGACACGTGAACACCATCACGTCTCCAGTGAACATCATCACAGTCCGATATAGAGGGCCTGCGATAGCGTGGATCATGAAGAACCTCCTCTGTGTGGCGTGGTGGTGGTGGCAACGTCTCACCACCGCGCCGAACCAATCTTTCTCTACGAGCATCGTGCGGCCGCCGAAAATTTGGTATTGAATCGCTACTATCGGCCAGTCGTTTCACACTTACGATCTTCTCATAATTAACTTCATTATAACGTGGTTTCTTTGGAGGTCGTTCAGGATCGGGTGGTCTCTCATCCCCAGAAGAAAGTGGATCATCAGCACCTCGGCGATACAAGAGTCGAGGATCCTGCGGTCCACCAGCACCCCCACTACTACTGCTTACTACATCTTCCCCATCCTCTGTATGAGACGAACGATGGAGTCGATGGGTGCCTGTTCGGTGGGGTGACTCTGGTGGTGCTGGGGGTGGTCGACGCACATCACTAACACGCACAACTAGATCCTTAAGGTCATTTGTACGTCTTCTGTAATCCCGGGGGTCTGGGAGAGATCGATCATCTAGCAGTGTTACTTCACGTGATGGTGATGCAGCTATCGGTGTTCCTGGTGATCTGGGAGCTAATCGTGAGGAAACACCTGAACTGCCTTTTGAAGGCCGTGGTGGCGGCGGTGGAGAGGCAGCACGAGATCCAGGTGGAGACTGACTGTGAAAGCTGTCATGATCGCTGGTGGAGCGTCTGGCAGTGCGACGACTGCCAGTCTCCCCATCCTCGTATGGAACACGAGCCGGAGGGCTTAAACTACTACGATCTCTTGAGTGAGCACGCTGGGAGCCAGGAGACGGATCATCCCGTCGCCGAGCAGGACTAAAACTATGCCGTCTGTTACCTGCAGGTACAGCACCACTACCACCTCCACTACCAACACCTTCACCATATCTCTGACTTCCTGCATACTCACGAAGCTCCCGCTCGTAAGAATCTTCGTAAGATGCACCGCTTCCTTGACTGAATTCATCGTAACTCCGCCTAAAAGAAAAGGAAAAGTCACAGTGCAACAGGTACAACAATTCACAACTAACCCACAATTTACAGGAAATTTCAGGAAGTAAAAGTGCTAGCCCATCCTTGTAAGATTTGAGTACCATCTTGAAAACACATTAACCATCATTCACTCACTTGCCGTCTTGCCAGAAGTGGCCGACATCACAATCGGCTTACCCTACAAGTAGAATATTCCCATCTCTCCTTCAGAATGCAGGCACTGCCCTTCCAACCCTCCAGGACTCAAATCTGGCTAACCGTTTTCCCCTTCAGCCAGACTAGAGTCCTGAACGTGGGAAGTACAGTGCCTGCAATCTGAAGGTGGTGGCGAGGATGTTGCAGTCATAGGGTAATCTGTGATGTCTGCTAACCAAACTGGGGAACAGCTCGGTTTTGAACCCATGACAATGGAGTCCTAAAAGTCCAAGTTGATGCATAAGCCACTCAGCCAGCTGACTGTTAAAACCATGTAGCATGAACTAATAGATTATTCAATTCTCTTGTATTCATTGTAACCTCCTAGATTTACACTTTATTGTTCCTGCCTTATTAACCTTAAGTTTGCTCAAAATGTTCTGCACATAAAGGGGCTTTTGGCATGTACACCCAAATGTCATTCTCCTTTGTACAAACATTTTATCATGCTGAAACAAACATTATAATTTATCCAACTAGAACTCACTCACTATGGGTTCAAACACCAGCCATTCTGTGCTTTGTTTGTGATCGTGTTATTACAATTTCGTGAGTGAGCAAAATTCTGGCAGGATAAGTCATGACTAGACAACAGTCCAGGACACACTGAAGAATCATCTACAGTATTCTCTCAAAATTGTGAGTTATTTGTAAATTACTTCACCTCTTAAGAATCATTCACATACAGGTGCTCCTTGACTTAGGTTGGTGCAATAATTACTTTGGAGATGAAACTTAAGACAATTACCCAGCATGAAGGTGGTAAATCTGTAACTTGTATTCATTTATTTACTGTTCAATACTGGTATTATACGTAATTATGTGTGATTTACTTACAGCACGTGAACTAGTTATAGTATGGAACTTATTTATATTAGCATAGTAGCATAATTTATATTTAAGATAACCGACTAGATGGGATTGTCTGGAATAATACTTCTCACGTCGAGGAGGGCATTATGTTGCGTTAAAACAGTGAAGACCCTCGCAAAGACACTGATGGAATGAATGATGTGAATTTTTTGCTTTTCGCACCGTGCTATGGTGGGGGCTGAAATAAAATAATAATATAATATTCCTATGACAAATTTCGTCGTACTTGCATGAAATTTTGTGAAAAAATATCACAGCGGGGCCCGACTGTATTTACTGAATTAGAAATATTCTCACTGGATAACACACTTTACCCGGAAAAATAAAATTATACATGTAATAATCCATGATAAACAATATCACAGAAAAATATAACAAATACAGTATTTGAAATCATTTATACACTTACACAGGGGGAAACTCATCATAGTTGTCGTATCTGCCTCGTGACCGGGTGCCAGTCGAGTTGTAAGCTGCTGTTCGATTATTAGCCGCAGGTCTGGCAGGAAATGAAGCTCCTTCTCTTCTTGTACGCTCATAACGAGTGTACCTGTTGGTAGTGCCCTCGTAACGACCAGGCTCTCTGTTGGCAAAAAAAGTGCATCATTATTTTAAGTACCAGGACGGTAAGAAACATTTCTTATGCTCTGTTGGGGTATACTGCTTTTGTTAGCTCTGACAGGAACAAGACAGACCCCAACATCGAGACATAATAGAAAACACACAGGAAAGGAAAAATGTGTGTATTTATACTGTAACTAATTAAAAGTTTGTAAAATTTATCCACCATCATATATATTCATGAGACACTTTAAAGAACAATGATGCCAATATGCAACTTTCTTAACAGATTTCTGTTGCACAATCATATGGCAAATATAGGAAATTAACAGCTTTCAATGGATGAAGATAATTAAAAAGCAAATATCTCAGTTATCCTGACTTATAATTTTGAAGTACAATGCCTGAACTCTGAAGGTGGTGGAGAGGATGTTTCTTAAGAACATAAGAAAGGAGGAACACTGCAGCAGGCCTACTGGCTCATACTTGGCAGGTCATTCTCAAACCTAAACCCACTAACAAAAATATGCACCCAACCCATTATCAATGTTACCCAAGGGGTAAGATTTGGCAGCGCTATTAACTCAAGCACAAGTCCCAGTTTAAGGAATCACTTAAATTGTAATGTTTCTGCATTTCTGGTAAGACGGCTATTAACCAAATGACTTTTTTGGGTTACCTTACCTTGATGAGAGACGGCCAAACGTTAAAAAAAAAACTTACTTTTCTAATTCTCGTCGTTCCCATGGCCTGTCTGCTGGTATGGGATGGCCTTGTTTGGATAGATGTTCAAAAAAGGCAGCCTGGCACTCTCGAGAAGCGAAGTCTATCTGAATCTTCCTGCTGTTCAGCATCCTGCCACGCATTTCCAACACTGCACTAGATGCATATTTTTCCTGTGAAAAATACTTCAGAGTGAAAAAGACTGATACTGAGATACAAAAAACAAAGTCACAAATCAAAAACATCTGTAAATATATTCACACACACACACACACACACACACACACACACACACACACACACACACACACACACACACTACCCAAGTGTTTTAGTGCATTTACAAACATCTTCAGATGTGTGTACAAACATTAAATAATAGTCAGGTATTTCCCTATTGTCAGTTTTTATCTGTAGTTACTAATGTATCTGAACTCAAAATACCCAGTAAGGAAATTCAATTCAAACTTCCTCATAACAAGTATCTAGTAATACCAAGAGTAACCCCATAATTCACACTCCAGTTAGTCATGACACCAAGATTAATACTGAGATGATACAGTACTCTATGTATCAGGTCTGGCAGATGATACAGTACTTCATGTATCAGGTCTGATAGATGATACAGTACTCCATATATCAGGTCTGACAGATGATATAGTACTCCATATATCAGGTCTGGCAGATGATACAGTATTTCATTTATTAAGTCTGATAGAGGATTCAATCCTGGCAGAAACACTTACGTTAATGACAGCCATCTGAACTGCAATATCAGCAAGCTTCAGGTCAGACAGTGACTGAGTAACAGTCAATGTTTCATGTCTTTTGGTTGTCCTACGGCAAGGCAGTAATTGTGAGAATGATGGCTACAGTGTTTTCTTTTTTGGATTACCCTAGCAGGGTGACCCCCAAAAAAAAGAAAACACTTTCACCATCATTCACACATATAACTGTCTTTGCAGTGGAACACAGATACGACAGTTTAGATGTCACTCCAAACAGCAAATATCCCAAACCCTTCCTTTAAAGTGCAGGCATTGTACTTCCCATCTGCAGGACTAAAGTCCGGCTAACAGGTTTCCCTGAATCCCTTCACAAAATATTACCCTGCTTACACTCCAACAGCTCATCAAGTCCCCAAACCATTCATCTCTATTCACTCTAATTTTCTACAATTACCCTTCTAGTGGGTCATAATAAGCGTGTATGCACCTGGAGAAGAGAGGAATGCAGAGGAGAGAGAGAGATTTTGGGAGATGTTAAGTGAATGTATAGGAGCCTTTGAACCAAGTGAGAGAGTAATTGTGGTAGGGGAGGGGACTTGAATGCTAAAGTAGGAGAAACTTTTAGAGAGGGTGTGGTAGGTAAGTTTGGGGTGCCAGGTGTAAATGATAATGGGAGCCCTTTGATTGAACTTTGTATAGAAAGGGGTTTAGTTATAGGTAATACATATTTTAAGAAAAAGAGGATAAATAAGTATACACGATATGATGTAGGGCGAAATGACAGTAGTTTGTTGGATTATGTATTGGTAGATAAAAAGACTGTTGAGTAGACTTCAGGATGTACATGTTTATAGAGGGGCCACAGATATATCAATCACTTTCTAGTTGTAGCTACACTGAGAGTAAAAGGTAGATGGGATACAAGGAGAATAGAAGCATCAGGGAAGAGAGAGGTGAAGGTTTATAAACTAAAAGAGGAGGCAGTTAGGGTAAGATATAAACAGCTATTGGAGGATAGATGGGCTAATGAGAGCATAGGCAATGGGTCGAAGAGGTATGGGGTAGGTTTAAAAATGTAGTGTTAGAGTGTTCAGCAGAAGTTTGTGTTACAGGAAAGTGGGTGCAGGAGGGAAGAGGAGCGATTGGGTGGAATGATGATGTAAAGAGAGTAGTAAGGGAGAAAAAGTTAGCATATGAGAAGTTTTTACAAAGTAGAAGTGATGCAAGGAGGGAAGAGTATATGGAGAAAAAGAGAGAGGTTAAGAGAGTGGTGAAGCAATGTAAAAAGAGAGCAAATGAGAGAGTGGGTGAGATGTTATCAACAAATTTTGTTGAAAATAAGAAAAAGTTTTGGAGTGAGATTAACAAGTTAAGAAAGCCTAGAGAACAAATGGATTTGTCAGTTAAAAATAGGAGAGGAGAGTTATTAAATGGAGAGTTAGAGGTATTGGGAAGATGGAAGGAATATTTTGAGGAATTGTTAAATGTTGATGAAGATAGGGAAGCTGTGATTTCGTGTATAGGGCAAGGAGGAATAACATCTTGTAGGAGTGAGGAAGAGCCAGTTGTGAGTGTGAGGGAAGTTCGTGAGGCAGTAGGTAAAATGAAAGGGGGTAAGGCAGCCGGGATTGATGGGAAAAGATAGAAATGTTAAAAGCAGGTGGGGATATAGTTTTGGAGTGGTTGGTGCAATTGTTTAATAAATGTATGGAAGAGGGTAAGGTACCTAGGGATTGGCAGAGAGCATGCATAGTTCCTTTGTATAAAGGCAAAGGGGAAAAAAGAGAGTGCAAAAATTATAGGGGGATAAGTCTGTTGAGTGTACCTGGTAAAGTGTATGGTAGAGTTATAATTGAAAGAATTAAGAGTAAGACGGAGAATAGGATAGCAGATGAACAAGGAGGCTTTAGGAAAGGTAGGGGGTGTGTGGACCAGGTGTTTACAGTGAAACATATAAGTGAACAGTATTTAGATAAGGCTAAAGAGGTCTTTGTGGCATTTATGGATTTGGAAAAGGCGTATGACAGGGTGGATAGGGGGGCAATGTGGCAGATGTTGCAAGTGTATGGTGTAGGAGGTAGGTTACTGAAAGCAGTGAAGAGTTTTTACGAGGATAGTGAGGCTCAAGTTAGAGTATGTAGGAAAGAGGGAAATTTTTTCCCAGTAAAAGTAGGCCTTAGACAAGGATGTGTGATGTCACCGTGGTTGTTTAATATATTTATAGATGGGGTTGTAAGAGAAGTAAATGCGAGGGTCTTGGCAAGAGGCGTGGAGTTAAAAGATAAAGAATCACACACAAAGTGGGAGTTGTCACAGCTGCTCTTTGCTGATGACACTGTGCTCTTGGGAGATTCTGAAGAGAAGTTGCAGAGATTGGTGGATGAATTTGGTAGGGTGTGCAAAAGAAGAAAATTAAAAGGTGAATACAGGAAAGAGTAAGGTTATGAGGATAACAAAAAGATTAGGTGATGAAAGATTGAATATCAGATTGGAGGGAGAGAGTATGGAGGAGGTGAACGTATTCAGATATTTGGGAGTGGACGTGTCAGCGGATGGGTCTATGAAAGATGAGGTGAATCATAGAATTGATGAGGGAAAAAGAGTGAGTGGTGCACTTAGGAGTCTGTGGAGACAAAGAACTTTGTCCTTGGAGGCAAAGAGGGGAATGTATGAGAGTATAGTTTTAACCAACGCTCTTATATGGGTGTGAAGCGTGGGTGATGAATGTTGCAGCGAGGAGAAGGCTGGAGGCAGTGGAGATGTCATGTCTGAGGGCAATGTGTGGTGTGAATATAATGCAGAGAATTCGTAGTTTGGAAGTTAGGAGGAGGTGCGGGATTACCAAAACTGTTGTCCAGAGGGCTGAGGAAGGGTTGTTGAGGTGGTTCGGACATGTAGAGAGAATGGAGCGAAACAGAATGACTTCAAGAGTGTATCAGTCTGTAGTGGAAGGAAGGCGGGGTAGGGGTCGGCCTAGGAAGGGTTGGAGGGGGGGGGTAAAGGAGGTTTTGTGTGCGAGGGGCTTGGACTTCCAGCAGGCATGCGTGAGCGTGTTTGATAGGAGTGAATGGAGACAAATGGTTTTTAATACTTGACGTGCTGTTGGAGTGTGAGCAAAGTAACATTTATGAAGGGATTCAGGGAAACCGGCAGGCCGGACTTGAGTCCTGGAGAGGGGAAGTACAGTGCCTGCACTCTGAAGGAGGGGTGTTAATGTTGCAGTTTAAAAACTGTAGTGTAAAGCACCCTTCTGGCAAGACAGTGATGGAGTGAATGATGGTGAAAGTTTTTCTTTTTCGGGCCACCCTGCCTTGGTGGGAATCGGCCGGTGTGATAATAAAAAAAAAAAAAAATAAATACCCTTCAGTCATACAATGTGGAATATCAATAAATAGAGGCATTGATAGGGACTCCAACAGTGGTCCATGTATAAAGCAGGCAACACTAACCACTCAGCTTACAACAGGCCTATATGGAACATCGTTCAAGTCTCTCCATTCTTGTTTTTTCACTGACAGTCGTTCATTATCTTGGGTATGTAAAAATTTTATTTTAATAAAAACAGCAACTATCCACCTAAGCTTTACAGCAGGAAGAAAAGCAAATATAAAATAAAATAAGTAAAAATACCACAGTGAAAATAAGAAAAAAAAACCAAGCAGTTTTAAGTGCTTACACACACATCTTCTGAAGATGTTGTGTGTGTGCCACATGAAGGTGCTCAAGTTTTATTTCAGATTTCCACACACCTGCAATCATGTGTTTTATTGTGGCTTCTTCCATAAAACAGGATCACTATAAAACCCTTGTGTGTGTGTACTTACAATCTCATAAAAGATGAGAGCATGGCCTTTTTCCCGGTCAATGATGGTGTGAATCACTGGGCCAAACCGGGAAAACTGCTCATACAACTGCTTTTCTGCCATGGTTTCGGGTACACCGTCAATCCAAACACAACGAGTTGGCATGGATTTACCAAACCCCAGCTTAATGCGATTGGCCCCTAGATGTTCTCCATCCATCTGTCTCATTGCTCGTACGACTGATCGAATATCCGAATACTGGCAGAAGGCAAACGTAGATACATTTTGCTTCTTGATATCTATCTCCTATAAAAGATGACCATTTACAAGAGAAAAGTTATTGACAAAATTTAAGTAACAGTATTAACTGTACATCCACTTACTAACTAAAAAAAGTTATTTCTTTTTAATACTTATTTATTGACTTGGTAAAAACTACATCTTACAAACTAGAAAAGTTACCATATTTCACAGCTTATAAGACTTGTTTTAGCTTCAATGGCTCAGCACTGGACATAACTGGGAGAGTTACAGCCCACCCCACACCCCAAACTTATAGCTCCTGTTAGCGACCTTCAGTTTATAGGACGCAGGGTGGTTTTTGGAGATATTTTATGGAAAAAACACGCGTCTAATAAGCCATGAAATACGGTATTTGTTTTAAAAAATTACTGACACAGTAAAAAACAAGTATATGTGAACATTGCTTGGCACTCTTCAAACTAATACTGCTATGTTGTACAGTACAGTGGACCCCCGCCTAACGATCACCTCCGAATGCGACCAATTATGTAAGTGTATTTATGTAAGTGCGTTGGTACGTGTATGTTTGGGGGTCTGAAATGGACTAATCTACTTCACAATATTCCTTATGGGAACAAATTCGGTCAGTACTGGCACCTGAACATACTTCTGGAATGAAAAAATATAGTTAACCGGGGGTCCACTGTACATGTTTCATTACAACCGCAGGATGAAAATTCCTATTTGTCCTACACACTTTCATAATTTTTCTAATGAACATTAAAATTAAGTCCTATTAACTCAAAGCAATCCTACATAACCCTTAAACTGTCCAAACGTAGATCTACGTTCACATCAGTAGCACTCCGAACGTAGATGTACGTTCACATCAGTAGCACTCCGAACGTAGATCTACGTTCACATCAGTAGCACTCCGAACGTAGATCTACGTTCACATCAGTAGCACTCCGAACGTAGATCTACATTCACTGACATCCAACGTAGACTACTTCACATCAGTAGCACTCCGAACGTAGATCTACGTTCACATCAGTAGCACTCCGAACGTAGATCTACATTTTATTTTACATGCTTTCAAATGTAAAAAAAAAAAAGTAGATCTATGTTTGGAGTGCTTCGCACTTAAACATAGACATTTGGACAGTTTAAGGGTTAATTATACTTAATGTGTATGTTAAGTCTTATTTCTGGCATCCCTAACTAATGCTTAATTATGTTATCATAGCTGCACTACACTGAGATATGTACTCGCAATGTCACCGAACTGCTCAAAATGCTACATATACTCACAATGTCACCGAACTACTCAAAATGCTACATATACTCACAATGTCACCGAACTGCTCAAAATGCTACATATACTCACAATGTCACCGAACTACTCAAAATGCTACATATACTCACAATGTCACCGAACTGCTCAAAATGCTATATATACTCACAATGATGTCACCAAACTGCTCAAAGTGCTTCTTGAGGTCCTCTATCGTAACATCTTTTTCTAAGTTACCAATGAAGAGGGTGCGGGTGGCTCGTGGGTGGTACTCATCCACCTCAACATCATACGCTCTACATTCGCTCTCATCCAACTCCACTCCTTCGTGTGGCGCCACCTAAGAACCCAAATTTTATAATTATTCATAAATACATGCTCCCTGTGGGTAGTGGTCACGAAGTTTGAAGTTATGGTATCATCAGTATTTCAAATATCACACACTTCCAGTATATTCAACCCAAATGTAAAGCTAAATAAGCAGTGCTGCTCTTTCATGCTAAAGCATAACTTGAATAAAGCTTAAAAAATAATCTATATTTGAAGCCTTGTTCCCTCTGAGATGTGTCCATCCTGGATGAGATGGTCACGTGTAGAATCTTCCCCACACATTTCAAATGCCTTCAAATGTTCGAGACTCATGAAAGAGGAGCTCCAACACTTCTACATGCTGGTTTGGTTATCATTATAACGAAGCAATGTCACTGGCTTGCACTCGGAAACAAGAATGTGTGAACAGAATATGGACTGCCTCAGTAAGCATTTACAAGTGAGAAAGTAGGAAGAAGCAGGGAAAGAAAGACACAAGTATGGGGGATTAAAAGACAAAGAACAGTTGAATACTATTTATTGATGGGGTAATGTTGAGGTAGAGAATACTTAAATAACCCACACGTAGGAGAGGGGAGCTTATGACTACATTTCGGTCCGACTTGGACCATTTACAAAGTCACACTGACTGTAAATGGTCCAAGTCAAACCAAAATGTTGTCGTAAGCTCCCCTCTCCTACTCTCCTATGTGCGGGTTATCTGTGTATCGTTCCAGTCATGGTATTGTGCCTTTTTATTTATGAGGTAGAGAAATTATAACAGACCACTACGTGGCACTGGTTGGTTGGTGTGTGTGTTTGTGAGGGGGAGGGGGGATGACGAAAAAAAGCCACTTCAGCATAGACTATCTCCCCCCCCCCCCTTTTCACAGGGTAGATACTGCCTTTAATGCTAGAAGGGCACTTAATCTGAAGAACTGGAGCTAGCCTTCCCTTCCTCAGATCAAACTTATTACATACCTCTCATTCCCCAGAATCTTCACTGGGGAAGGAGTACTGCAACCTATCTTCCCCAATGGCAGTATGTACTTCCACAGAGGACTGAGGCCAGTCTATTATCTAAATTTATTTTACCTACTAAATAAACTATTTACATACATATTATATACAAGGCACAGAGTAGCAAGAATAAATCCAACATCTGAACTTAGAAAAAACTTAAAACAACATTTATGCATTATAAACATTACATTAATGGTAAAGAATTAAAAATACCCGTTCTCCAGGCACTGGAGAACGGATAGTAATCACTTTCAATTTACGCAAGGGGAAAGCACCACAAATTCCTTGGATCAAGAACTTTTTACCAACATCAAGACACCCATAAGGATAAAAAATAAATCAATGTAGCTACAGTATTTTATTTTTGTACAAATTTTACGTGAATAGTTTTCCCATGCATTTTGTACAAAAATACAGATGTGGAGTTCAGCCTTACTACTTACAATGACTTGTGTATTTAGTAATACAACCATTGTAGGTTTGAGAAAATATTAAACTGCATCTAGCTATGAAACTCAAGTACAGTACAGTACAGTACAGTACAGTACAGTACAGTACAGTACAGTAATACTGCACTGTACAACACAAGAGCTGTCATGTCTGAATGACTGACAACAGCATCACTAAAGAATAAAGTCACAATACCGTGACTGGAACAATACACAAATAACTCGCACACAGGAGAAAGAAAATTACGACGACATTTCTATCCGATTTCAACCACTAACCCAGTAACATTCTGGTCCGACTTGGACCATTGACCCATCAATGTTTCGGTCCAAGATTCGCCATAAGATTCTTTCTCCTATGCGCAGGTTATCTGTGTAACATCACTTCGTGAAACTAGTCCTATTAAATTTGAATTTCCTGAACACAACTAAATCCCTTTTTTGTGGCGAATGAGCAGGTCATACTAACGAGATATAGGCTACCACATCCATATTTGACAAAGACAGTACTGAAACAAGATATAACAAGCGAATGTAACCTGCTGTAAATAAAATTAAAATAAAGTTATGAATCTTCATGTCAATATTCAGAGACAACGAAATTATATTTTATACACAATAATAAATTTTTCTGACACTTCCTAAGAAATTATTTGTCTATTAATATGAAATTTCTCATGTTCCACACAGGGTGATATGTCCAGAACCTTTACCAGATACACGAGTACAGTACCAAACCTACTGGTGTATATTTTTTTACACACGTGCAAAAAAAAAAGTCTAACAACAATACTGTGCTAGTTTGAGTATCACAAAAAATCGTAAATACAGCATTAGCATCACAACAGAGAAGCAATGACCAACCATCAGCAATGTAAGCTAAACTTCTATGTGGAAAACAACGAGGCAGCCAGGTGTGTCAAATTTTGGGCAGGGTATAATATCTGTTAATGTAAGTTCCCCAGCTGGAATGTCTAGAACTCAAAATAAGACTGTAAATATTATATCTTAATACAGACCCTGCAAAGATTATTATGCATTATTATTATTATTATTATTATTATTATATTATTATTATTATATTATTATTATTATGCATTATTATTAATGACTCATGAATTCTTAATAAGATTCCGAACAAGCCCTTCCCGTTCCATGGTTTGAATATTATTACTGTAGATTTATGGGAAAGCACTAAACCCATGTCTGCTGTTATGTTCTTGAGGAAGCGCTAAATCCACCAGGGTCATGCAGCACTGAGAATGGATAGTAACAAAATATGATCTATGGAAGGATGACAGGGTGGCCACAAATTTTTCATAAGCTTTTTGCCACCACTGAGGCATTCCTCTTGAAACACCCACAGACAATAGTACATTAGGAAACTGGTCAGACACCCACAGACAATAGTACATTAGGAAACTGGTCAGACACCCACAGATGGTAGTATTAGGATAGTGGACAAAGTCAGCCACAGACAATAGCACTAGGATAGTGGACACACAGACACACAACACACAAGACAACGTTAGCTCATTATTTTTGGATGCAGAGCCCTTATGATGTACTGTCCTTATACACACAACTTAGCATTCTTAATAAAAAAATGCAGTAAAATTAAGTATAGAATATTAAGAATGACAAATGATTCAGATGTAGGGGAATGCGAATGTTACTTTTGAGTAGTAAAGAATAAAGATACAGGGAAGCTTGGATTAAAGTGTCCAACACTATCAATCAAAAGCGAGAAATCACTGACATAAAATAAAACATGGGCATAAGATATCTGAATATTCCGACTTCTTTTAGAGACTCGGCTGAAGAGGGTCTCTGACCAAGGCTGAGATATACAGATGTCTCATGCTTTGTCTGCCCAGGTGATTTAACACTATTTACATGTAGGCAAGTTTAGTGGAAGCTTGAAATGAGAGAGTTACTCCAAGATGGACATCTGCTGTGAATTATTATACAGCAGGACCCCCAATATCTGTGGGGTTACATTCCAAGGACCTGCCGTGAATACTGAAACCGTGGCTAGCAGTGAGCCCTATCTATGTCATTTTTCATTTACATGCATACCGATGATAAAGTTTAATTGATAAACTGTGCACAATAAGTGGAGAATTAGCACTTTTTCCACTGATAGGAAGCACTTCACGGCTTCTCGTACGCCTGAAAATAACCGTTAATTTTGCTTATTATTAAGCAAAATTAAGGGTTATTTTCAGACCACAGTAAACCATGGATAATTGAAACTGTGGAACCCAGACCTGCAGATACTGGGGTCCTACTGTATATATACAGTGGACCCTCGCCTTACAATCAGCTCCCAACTCGAACAATTATGTAAGTGTATTTTTGTAATTGCTTTTGTACGTGTATTTTTGGGGGTCTGAAACGGACTAATCTAATTTATAATATTCCTTATGGGAACAAATTCGTTCGGTAACGGCACCCGAACAGACTTCTGGAATGAATTAATATCGTGAGTCGGGGCTCCACTGTCTATGGAAATGCTGGACCTAAAGGGTCATACACAATGCTGGGGTACAGGAGGCAATCGGATTCAATCTCAGTAACGGAAGGATAATTACAATTCCTTGGATGACGAACCTTTCACCAGCAATAAGGCACTTTGCTTGAAGGGAACTGGTGTGGAACGTAGACATTAATGAGATAAATACCGAATTTTCCGGCATATAAGGTGCAAGAGTATACACGATATATAAAACCGTTTCCAAACAGTTGTAATGTAACGTTAGTAAACAACTGCTAAAACGTAACCCAAAGCCTACCTCTGACCCTGATCGTGAGCATATAAGACACAGTGATTTTTCAAGACTTTTTTTTGGAAAAAAAAAAAAAAAAAAAAAAAAAAGAGGTGCCGTATATGCCAGAAAATACAGTACATGCCTCTACTGGTCAATGCAACATAACATGTGAAGTTTACAAACTCACGATGAAGATTTGAGTTAGCACTATTTACATGTAATTTACTGATATTACAAATAAAAATTTTAATTTTTTTGTTATAGAAAAAACATTTGAATGTGGTAATTAGTGAGTGCTAAGGTTGCACAACGTGTTAGTCTACAATATGGTATATGCTACATCAAGCATGTTATAATGCTCAAGTTGAAAATTTTAGAGAAATCAGTCAATTGTTTGTGAAAGTTAAAGAAAGATAAGAAAGATAACTTAATGAAAGGTCAAAACTGAGGATTAAATTGTCACACCAACAAAGGGCAATTGACAAGAGCAACTGCAACCCAAAAATATGCACACACGACATACACTACTAAGGTTAAGGCACATTTCCAAAGAGGCATGATTACAGAAAGTTCTAAAATATTATCTACAACAAGTATCACTAATGGATAGATCTGCATAAACTGTAATCTCAGGCGAGGTCTCATGGTAAGCTACAACAAAATGCAAACGCTAGAAGTTGAAACATTAACAATTATAATACAACCTAGAAGTAGAATCGTAAGAATGAACAGTTATAAATGACAAGTTTTGTTATGCGAGTTTTCCGCTGATGGTTCTGGGTATCATC